AAGTTGCTAAGTAACTTTTTTAGATTAAACCAAATTAGTAAATATTAAAAAAACAATATAACAAATATTTTCTGTTAGACTTTATGCAAGCGTTTAGTTATTGGATAAGCTAATATTTATTTCCATTAATGGAGATCAACTTTAATCTTGATTTATCTTTTTTTCTAACGATCACTTCTGTCAATGTAAATTAATTTATTTTCAATTTACTTTTTTTTTCCGTTCTAAGAATTAGAAAAAGATGCAGAATAAATTAAAGAGTAATTATTTTATTAAGTTAACCAGTAATTAAACCAAGATTATAATTAATAAATGTTAAGAAGAAATAGACATAAATTTTAGAATTAATGAAAAGCGAATTAAGCCGAGATAAAAATTAATCTACATTGACAGAAGTGGGCATAAGAGTTGCGTCAAAATGTGAAAAGCCCGAGAAACTTGAAACTGCGCGCGAGAAACCTTTGGATAACCGTTCGCGTATATTTGCAAGTTTAATTAGAGTCTGGAAGAGAAGAGGAGTCATCTTTTCAGCAATTCCGCATCTCGTGCACGTGTATCGAGGGAACAATGCCAGTGCTCTGAGTCGCGAAGTATCGATAGCCGGGGTTATCGGTGCCTGGCTATTATATTGTGCCGTTCGAGTTCTACGTCAAACACAAACATCCCTCGATGATAATCGAGCTGGGCTAACTGGCGCAATTGCAGCGCATTGATGTCTCGTACTTTCACCTTTGAGCTTGCGTGTTTAAATCGATCCTCCTCACGTGTCTCAGTCGCGAAGTGAACTCGCATAACTCCCGTACAGTAAACCCGCTTGCTCGGGCTCTATATTTAGAAGTAAATGCTATAGCCATCAACCCTATCTTCGAGTTTGTATTCACGCCTGTCTTTCTAATTTCTTAACACGGATCTTCTTGTTTGAATGGACAATCCTACAAAATTAGAAGCACCTCACAAATTTTCTTTCACTTGTTCTCGGGATTAATTTTTACAAAAATATAAGTGTACCTTTCTTAAAAAAGTTTCTTTTAAAATTAAAGAAATTTGTTGAAAGAAAAAAAACTTTCGTTAAATTTTTAATATAAATTCTTATGAGACATAAAAATATTGTTTTCTTTTGTTTTTTTTTTTTTTTTTTTTTTTAATTTCTTTTTATCATTAATACAAATCTATTTTTGTGAGTATAATATCTTTTATATTGTTAATTTTAAATTAATCGAACAATTTTTAAAATAAATGTGTTTATAAAATTTAAAAAATTGTAGAAAAGTTAAATTGAAAAATTATCTGCAAACTATAATGTTACTTTAAGACCTGTTTCAATGAATTTCTCGCGCGCGCGGCGAGAAGGATGACAGTATTGCATCATTGTGATTCCGTCACTGATGAATTAAATTCAACATTTAAATTGGCATTTAACAACGGGTTTAATGACAAGGAAAAAAAACGCGCTAATCTAATTCGCTCATCTGTGCAATGATCGCCTGTCCGTGGGCGTTTTATGAATGATATTTAAAGCCACGCGATTTTCGTACCATTGCATCGCGTGAATGAAATTGACGATGGCATTTATCAACGCGCTTCGTTTTAGAGACAGATGCACAAATAATATCGATATCCGTTCGCGATGATTATTAGTAATAATAGCCTGCCTATCCACCGCGCGATAGGAATTATTTTATTTATCAGTCACTTGTGAGCGAGTCGTGAATATCCTTATCACCGCTTAAGTGTCTCTTTTTAATAGAATTTCATTTCGAAACTTATACATATATATATATATATATATATATATATATATAGCACATAACATAGCTAATTATAGATAACTACAATAATCGAGTTATAAAACGTATGTGATAATTGCTAAGTTCTTCGCAATTCTTAATTAATAACTTCAAATATTTCTTTAACTAATCTCATAACTTAAAATATTCGTTTCTTCTAGATGACCCTTTAAACTAAAATTGATTTTTTTTCTCATTTTTATTTTGTAAGATATTAATTAATAATTTATTATTTATCGAGATGATTAACGCGATATCTTAATGAACAGGAAGATTTTTACGAGCAATTGATTAAGTTTTTTTTAAATATCAAGTTTAAATCTTTTACGATGTCTTGTATAATTATTTGTAAATAAATTGGAGATATATGTTATAAATAAATAAACAGTGAATAAATAATAATCGAAATCTGTAAAATATAGCGATCATCGTGATCCTTTCTCATATAGATCTTTCCCACATTCTTTCGTGATAAAATATTTTATCGTATTAACATGCTCACGTTGTAACAAGAGTATAATGCTTCTACACAGAACGACGGTGGAACCGTACATGATAACAAAATTGATAAGACGTTGCGGGGTTGGCGATAAGCGTTAGCAGAAAAAAGACATAAGAACGATGAATTATGTACAAAGTATTTAAAATCCCAAAGTATTAAAAACTCTGTTATCTAATCGTTAAGGGTATTTTTATTCGTTACATAAGATATATAATCCATCATATCTCTATTTAAGACATGTAATCGTTACATCTTCAATTCGATTTATTTCGGAAATTTCCCTATGAAATAGGGAATAGTTGGATTATTTACTCAAATTATAGGATTCGATTTGTCAATCTTGTCGATTTTTTTTTCTTCTGAAGTTTAGGATTATATAATCTTCTTGAATTATGGGATAGTTGTCTTATCAGTCGCGCGATCTACTATCATTGACGAATGCTCAAAGTTGATGATAATTGTGAAACGTGGCCTACAGAAGCGGAAAATTAATTGCAATTACCTGTGTGTATAGAATCATGCGGTGGTTAAATTTCGATTTTAGAATTTGTATTAATCAATCCAAATCAATACAAAATTTGACCAAATTATAGAAAAGAAAGTATTATTGATTATAATAATTACGTTAATAATAATCTATTAGTTCTAATAATCATATAACTGAGCGAAGAAAAAAGAAGGAATGAGAAATTTAAAAAATATTTCATATAGAATAAACGGTTTATGTTAAATAATTATTAAAAATTAATAAAAATTAGTTTAATAAAGATTAATGTTATTTGATCATTTTGTGCAAATGTAATAAGAATTAAATAGAAAATTAAAGATACTAAAGAATGAGAAATTTATTTTTAGATTAAACATTAAGATTAAACATTAGAGCAAATTATTACAATTGTTAATGAGCCAATAAGGCATCTTCTTGATATAGATTGTTGCTGGTGTTCTGAGAAGTTCTCGATGAATTACAAACACGTATCTTAATATAAATAGTACAGCATTTCTGTGCGTACTATTTACTTTGCTTATTTATAAGCGCATCAGTGATTGCGAATGGCGAGAGAGTGCATCTAAGAGTGCGTCGAAAAGCGCGTCTGACACCATAAGACTACTTGGACCCGATGTATTTATATATTTCTTATAAATGCACCCCACGTGATCTTTTCAGTGTCAGAGATCAAATCATTATATTCTGTAGTTTATTTTTTTTTGTTGTGATTTGATTTTCAGTAATAATTATTTTTATATATCTTCTAGCGTAAAATTGTCTTGTTAACGTAAATTTGTATAATAAAATATATTAAATAAAGATTCCTTTATCTTTAAGTAATATTCTAAATAAATTTGTCAATTTATAAAAATCGAAAAATTTGAAATTTAGGTAAGTTCGAGTTTAGTTTAGTTTAGTTTAGTTTAGTTTAATTTAGTTTAGTTTTTTTTTTTTGTATATAATTGTATGATTTTTTTCTGATTATTTTTGAAATTGTAAAGATCCAAATAAACACTTGTACGCGCACACACACATTAATTAATACATATATAATAAAATTAATGTGTTGAATTTGACAAAATATATCTATTAATTAATTAACGATTCCTGCATTGCGAAAAAAGTGATGATACAAAATAATTCATTCGAATTGTCCTTTAAATATGGTGAACTATTTGTAGAGGTAAAAAAGAAAGCAGAGGAGAGCGGAAGCACGAGCACGGCCACAGAGAACGTTGTAGAAAAGGGGGAAGTTGAAGCGACGAAAGAAGGTGAAAAGGAAAAGGATGAAGACAATAAGAATAGTGATAAGAACGAAAAAGAAGCAGAGACCGCTGACAAGGAAAAGGATGCCTCGAATGAACAGGAAGTTGTCTTTATCCAAGACATGGGCTTTACCGTCAAAATTATTAGTCCAGGTTCTGAACCCTTTGATATTCAGGTGTCCAGTATGGAGCTCGTGCAGGTAATAAGATCTTCTGAAATGATGAAATCTTTATATATCAATGTCTATGTATCAATGTCGTTTTTTTAAAATTGTATTTATAAGCATATTTAAATTAGTAATTACGTTATTACTTTATTTAATAATGACTGTTTCTACTAACATTTTGAATTTAATTTTTCTTTCTAATACTCAATTTTATTTTTAATTAGTTGTAACTAGGTGTCTTGTTTGTGTACTATTTTATTAATTTTCTTTTGTATTTTGTATTTATTATATTGAATACATGTTTATATTAAATTTATAATAAGATAATAAGATTTATAAAATGTAATTTAATGGCATCAATATCTAAAAAAATGCCTAAATTTTATTAATTTTTTTCAGGAGATCCATCAGTTACTCATGGACCGCGAAGACACGTGTCACCGCACGTGCTTTTCACTGCAACTGGATGGCAACACATTGGATAACTTCGCCGAACTGAAGAATATTGAGGGCCTGAAGGATGGCTCGATCATCAAAGTTGTTGAGGAGCCGTACACAATGCGGGAGGCGCGTATACACGTGCGACACGTACGTGACCTATTAAAATCTGTGGATCCTGCAGATGCTTACAACGGTGTTGAATGCAGCAGCCTATCGTTTCTCAATGTAGTCACGAACGGCGACATTTTAGAGAAGAAGAAGACTCGTGCGGATTCGGTTGATTGCACGCCGCCTGATTACATTATACCCGGTTGTAAAGACAGGCCTCTGTTACCTCTCCAGCCGCAGGCGAAAGAGCAAAAGTGCCCACCGTGTCTGAAGGTCAGCATGTTTAATAAGCAGTTGTTTAATGATAAGCAAGAAGGAATAAATTATATATTGGCCTTCATTGCTGATATCTTTTTCTTTTTAAAAGTAAGAATAAAAATTTAAAAAGCTTTTTAGTTTAAAAATGTAAATTTTCCACCTTGAAAGAAGAATTTTGTATCTTTAAATTTTTTTCGGAACCAAAGGAAAATTTTTTAAAATATAACTTATATAAATTTATTAAAGAAATATGGAGATTATATTTATTTATCTAAACTTACCCGAAACAGCAAAAATTAATTAATAGCTTTGAAGAAAAATTACTCAAAGATAAATAATATCTTTTTAATTTTTTAAAGATTTAAAAATTAGATTCTACGAAGAAAAAAGGAGATAAACAAAAGATTTCTAAATTTCTTTTGCATTTTCCCAAGGTTCTAACAACGTCAGGATGGAATCCACCGCCTGGTCACAGAAAGCTTCACGGCGATCTGATATATCTGCACGTAGTTACATTGGAAGACAAGCAATATTACCTAACCGCATGCGCTAGAGGTTTCTTCGTCAACCAATCGACCAAAGAAGTATTTAACCCTAAACCAGCTACGCCAAGTCATTTATGCCATAGTTTGATTGAATTGCTAAATCAACTTAGTCCAGCTTTTAAACGAGGATTTGCTTCTATGCAACGTCGTAGAACTCAGAGGCATCCTTTTGAACGAGTAGCTACGCCTTATCAGCTGTACGCCTGGAGCGCTCCACAAATCGAACATACTATTGACGCCATTCGCGCGGAAGACAGTAAGTTGGAAAAAAAGTAAAAAGATATTCTAATATTTAATAATAATCGCTAAAAAGCAGAAAATGTGAATGTAGTTTTAAAATTCCCAGCACATTAATGACTGGGTTCTTTTCAGAATATCATTATTGTAATCAGGTCATTAAATTACAATCTATTTGAGATTCTTATCTATTATTCTGACAATAAATAAAAAGAATAGAGTCTTACATTATTTAAACGTATCAATCTGAAAGTGCTAATAAATTAACAACGCTTTAGAAACTTATGGAATAATAAAACAGATTTAATTAATCTTCCTAGCGTTTTCTTCCAAGTTGGGATACGAGGAACATATTCCGGGACAAACACGCGATTGGAACGAAGAGCTGCAAACGACAAGAGAATTACCCCGTAAAAATCTTCCTGAAAGATTACTACGAGAGCGTGCTATTTTCAAAGTATGATTAATTTTTTTCGTAAATATATAATATACATATACAAATATACATATACAATATAAGTGTTAAATTGAAAATTAGTAGTTTAATAAATAATTTTCTTCATCTGTTACTTATTATTTTATGAGAAATGCTTTTTTATATCAATTTAAAAACACTGCATATTATACTAAATTAAAACAAATGATAAAATAATAAAAAAATAAATACTTTTACTTATTACTTTGAATGAGTTTTAATTATTATTTCTAATTATTTTTATGTCGTTTAGGTCCACAGCGATTTCGTGGCGGCTGCGACTCGTGGAGCAGTAGCGGTTATTGATGGCAACGTGATGGCGATTAACCCTGGCGAAGAGGCCAAAATGCAGATGTTTATCTGGAACAATATCTTTTTCTCGCTCGGTTTCGATGTGCGTGATCATTACAAGGAATTGGGCGGCGATGCCGCGGCTTTTGTCGCGCCTCGTAACGATCTACAAGGTGTCCGAGTATACGCGGCCGTAGATTTGCCTGGTCTCTATACTCTCGGTACTGTTGTCATCGATTACAGGTGTGTTTCTTCTTATGATTTAGATTTTTTTATGTATATTAAATTTCTTCCTTAATAATCCATTCTTATGAATTTTCTCATAGAGGTTACCGTGTCACTGCGCAATCTATTATACCAGGTATACTAGAACGCGAACAAGAACAATCAGTAGTCTATGGATCGATCGATTTTGGAAAGACGGTTCTTACGCATCCTAAGTATCTTGAACTAGTAAGTAAACAGTTTGAAAAATTATATATCAATCTTGTTAATTTTGATTAATTTTATTTTTATAAATTTTATAAATTTACTTAATTTTTTTATTACATTTTCCTAAATTTAATTGCTTACTAAAGAAAAATCTTAATGGTTTTGTTTCACATTTTCATTATAGTAATTGCTTTATAGTAATTGACCGTTGTTATTTGTTATGGCTTATAATTAAAATGTCTTTAATATTTCTTTAGTTAAACAAAGCTGGACAGCAGTTGAAGATCCTTCCCCATAAAGTAATTAATGACGCAGGCGAGGAAATCGAACTTTGTAGCAGTGTGGAATGCAAGGGCATCGTTGGTAATGATTCGCGGCATTACGTACTGGATCTGTTGAGAACTTTCCCACCTGATGTAAATTTTCTGAAACGTGAGTTGAGACTTATCAATAATTATATGAAAAGAAAATTGCATTATTAATATACAAGAAACATATTCTTCTTGTTCAGTTGAAGGTGTAGAACTGAGCAAAGAAGCGCGAGCTTTGGGCTTTCCAGTGGAACACAAGCATAGACTAGCTTGTCTGCGACAGGAACTCATAGATTCGTTTGTCGAAGCTAGATATGTTCAGTTTATCAAGCATGCGGCTGTTCATCTACAACAGCTTACATCAGCTAGAAGATCTCAAAAAGAAAAGGAGACAACCAAGGTATGTAGATAAACAGATTTTTTTTTTAATTACATATTATATTCTTGTTACGCATTTATCTCATTCAAATAAAATAATAAATATAAAAGATAATTTTAGATTATATAGGTAAGATTAATAATTTTATAGGAAGATAAGAAGGAGGATAAAAAGGAAGATTCTACTGTCGTGACAGTGGACAGCAACAAAGAAGATTGTACTCAGTCGTTGATAGAAGCCGATGAGGCTAAGAAGATTGTCGAAAGCATCACTGACTCAATTACAGGCGGCGAAAAGCAAGAACGTGAGTATTATACCTTTTTCCAAACGAATTGATTATGTATGTATAATTAATAATACAAGTGGAGAATAATAAAAATAGAAAAAAAAAGAAAAAATAAAAAAAAATAAAAGAACAATAAAAACAAAAACTAAGTTTCGTAAAACCTTTTTTACTGGACAATAGTGGAAGAGAGCACGAAGGAGATAGTACGAAGAGCGGCGGCAGCGGTGGGTAGTCTGCGAGACGCTGAATTCGACGTAAGGTTCAATCCGGATGTGTTCTCGCCTGGCGTTAAACACCCGGATCCTAATGGCCCTGATCTGAAAAAGCAGAAGCAATTGGTGAAGGACGCTGCGGATTTCTTGCTCACAGTGCAGCTGCCGACATTCGTAAGTAATTTCTGCAATAATAGTTTAATATATATTTGTGTACTTATATTAATTACAATTATTACTTTTTTTCTTAATTGAATCTTATTTTAGATTCGAGAGTGCCTGGATCACACAGCAGCTGCAATGGATGGTAGCACATTAGTGGAAGCTCTCCATGGTAGAGGTATCAATGTTCGCTATCTTGGTAAATTAGCAGCCATGCTAGCCGCGGTACCACAGTTGCACTATCTTAATCGTATCGCTGTATCTGAACTAATCCTCCGATCAGCCAAACATGTTTTCACTTCTTATATGCAGGTACAACATTTGATTACAAAAATGAAATAACAGGATGTTTAAAAAATAGCCAACAATATTTTTTGTGAAAATATATCATTTTTGTAGGGTACGGAATTGATGAGTCTGTCCGCAGCCGTAAGCCACTTTCTAAATTGTTTGCTGTCCTCAGCACAGATTATACATCCACAACAAAATCTTGAAGAGGTATAGGCAAATTTATAACTAATACATGATTATTAATTAATGATATAACAAATGAAAAGATTGAGATTAATTTTATTAATTAATAATTTTATAAATTAATAATGCAAAAAATAAGAACAAAAATAAGAATTATTGGGGAAAAGACTTTATATGTACATATTTTACATGATTATACTTTATTAAGTAAATTGTTATAATTATTATAATTTGTTAGCTTCAAAGCAAAACTGCCAAACGCCGCAATAAACGTAAGGGAAGGAACAATGGGCCGCAACAGTCGGAGGTAGAGTGGGCGTCGTTAATGCCTAAGTCATTGTGGCAGCAAATTAAGAGTGACTTGAAAGCCTATTACGATTGGGAAACACCAAGTCCAGAATCTCTGGAAGCCACGATAGAACACTTCCATTTGCAAAAAATTTCACTATTACGTGGCTTCTGCGTCAAGACTGGTATTCAGATATTACTACGCGAATACAACTTCGAAAATAAAAACCGGGCAACATTCTTCGAAGAAGACATATTAAACATCTTCCCCGTCGTCAAACATATCAATCCTAGAGTAAGTTATCAATCTTAAATGAATTAAAATGAAAAGATTAGTCTGATAGTTTCGAAACTTTTCAAAGTTAATTTACAGAGTAATAATTATTTAATTAAAAATTCAATTAAATTTAAAGACTTAAGGAATATATTTCATTTAAATTAAAATTAGATCATAATAAAGCAGGCTGGTTTCAATTCGACTTCTTTCAGGCTAGTGATGCATACAATTTTTACACTACCGGTCAAAGCAAGATCCAACAAGGATATTTAAAGGATGGATATGAACTGATCAGCGAAGCACTGAATCTTTTGAATAACGTCTATGGTGCTATGCATCCCGAGATTGCGCAGTGTCTCAGAATGCTGGCGAGACTGAATTATATAATGGGTGATCATGCAGAGGCACTTGCTACTCAGCAGAAGGCAGTCCTTATGTCAGAGAGAGTCAATGGCATCGATCATCCGTATACTATTACGGAATATGTAAGTCATTTTATTTATCCTAAAATAACTGTAATTAAAGCGAGTACAGTATAAAATAAAAAACAATTTTATGTACACAGAATCAAAAAATTATGTAAATTGTATTATGTGATTGTGTAAATTATATAAAAAAGATAATATAAATAATGTAATTTTTTTATGACAATTAATAATATATTATTTTCTGTTGCAGATACATCTCGCCTTATATTCCTTTGCCAATGGGCAAATATCTGTGTCATTAAGATTATTGTATAGAGCACGTTATCTAGCCTTATTAGTCTGCGGTGAGGATCATCCGGAAGTAGCTTTGCTTGATGTAAGTCTTCCGTATAAATTCTCTTGAAAGTGAATAATAATAATAATAATAATGTACTTAATTCTTACAGAGTAATATATCGCTGATTTTGCACGCGGTCGGCGAGTATGAGTTGTCGCTGCGTTTCTTAGAACACGCGTTAGCCTTGAATCTACGTTATCATGGTCCTCATTCATTAAAAGTCGCGGTGTCGTATCATTTAGTAGCACGCACGCAATCTTGTATGGGTGATTTCCGAGCAGCCCTGAACAATGAGAAGGAGACTTATGCGATTTATAAGCAGCAACTAGGCGAGGAACACGAAAAAACAAAAGAGAGTAGTGATTGTTTACGTCATCTAACCCAGCAGGCGGTCGTACTGCAAAAAAAGATGAATGAGATATATACCGGCAAGTCAGGCGTAAGTCTGCCGCCAATTCAGGTACAGCCGCCTAGCATGGGCTCGGTGCTGGATATGCTTAATGTAATCAACGGCATCCTTTTCGTACAAATTAGCCAGCAGGATATCGATAATTTTAAGGCGGAAATTGAGAAACGGCAAAAGGAACAATCGCCGGATAACGGCGAAGCAGTTAAAGCGATTGCCGAAAAAGATGCTAAGAAAGATGATAAGGAGATCAAAAAGGCGTCGACAATGGAGAAGAAAGTCGAAAAGGTCGAACAGAAGACAACAAAACACTTGGAAGCTAACAAAGATAGCGTTGTAGAATCAATCGAAGCGGCAAAGAGCTGAGTCTTTCGTGTGCCGACAATGAACAATAGTAGTCTTTCCTTTCTTTTTTCTAAGCCCTAGTCCTCCGTCATGGAAGATGACGATTTTATGCGAGGATCGCTATTAGTACAAGATATATATATATATATATATATATATATATATATATATTTGGTACTTGCATCATTTTTGTTATGTACTGTTTAAATGCAGACAGAATAAGACTTTCGAAAGAAGTCGAGATACAAGATCACTGTCGTCGATATGTTTGTGAAAATAAAAAGGAGAAGTACATTTGCTAAGATTGAATTTGCATGCAAGACGCACATTTATCTGTTATATCGGATGTATATAAAAGACAAAAGGTGCCATATTGCTTAAAGAGAGCAATCTCCAATGCGAGCACAATACAAAAGAGATTGTTCTCTTTTTGCTATCATAAAATCAAAGAGCAATACGATTTTTTATTTACGCGCGAGCGACTATGCATTTTTTAAAAGCTAAAGTTGCTCATTATGCAAAACGCCGATAATACATATATTATTGTCGACGGAACCAACGTTAATTCATCGAATTAAGTAATGTTCAAGTTCGATCAAATTCGCGTTAGATTTTGAAAACTGATTTCCTTCTTCTGTATTCTGTATATTGAATTCACGTCTTTCATCTCTGCACTTTTTTTTGAAGGTTTAGTGCTCATTAAAGACTGTTATACACAAGTTGAATTGGACATATATAGTACATATGAATGAATGAATCCGCAGGATGAGTAATTTAGTACATTATTAAATAGAATATATTGTTGGACGTTTTATCACTCAATGCTTGTATTATGTTTGTTACACAACGTTGATATGTATACACAGGCTTTAATTTGTATTAATGCATGTTAACACATCTAACCATTATCTACGAATTCACTTTCAATGACAGATTTTGCTATATTGCTTGCACTTCCTGCATTCGGATTTCTCGTTCTTTTGTTCTCTTTAACGTCCATGTATGTATACCTCGCTTCGGGTACGAAAAATGCTAAGAAGTGCAAGCAATGTGAACAAATCCAATGTTTTATGTTTCCTTTTTTCCTTTTTCGTAAGATCATCATTTTGTGCCATTTAGTTTATCGTTATTTCATTTTAATCATCTTTTTTCTCTCTCATAAGAAAGAAAAAGTGTCCAGATACAGTAATCTATATGAATCTATAATCCATCCTTTTTCATCTTTTATTATAGCAATTCATATGAAGGTGCTTCCTCTTATTTTTTACGGAGATTCTTGAATTCATAGATTTTTATTCCTAATTGATGTACTTGATTAATATAAAGATATGTATTGTTAATTTGGTACCGAGAATAGGTGATAAGAATATGTAGTAGAACATCGTTACCCGATCATGTTTGTAATTAAGGTCGCAATGAATTGTTAGCAGAATCATTGCGACTGCCGATTTCAAGTTACGCGATTATAGTCTTAAGATCGTAAAGAATTGATTGTTACCCTGCTGTAATATTAATTTTTGTTCGTTTCATTCGCTCCATGAATTTGCCCGCGGTTCGAATCAAGACCTCGTCGTAGTTCGAAGGGCGACATACTGCGATAGTCCGCTAGTAGTCGTGATTTTTGATTTTGATTATTGAAGAAAATAGCGCTGATCATCTCGTTGTAGCCCATATGCTAACTAAACTTTATGCGAGATTTTGGCCTGAAAAAAGCACCTTTTCTGATAGCAAAAGAGCAATCAATTGGTCATCGAGCTCTACCGCTGTATCTCTTTACGAACTCGTTTTTGCATTGCAATAATAATTATAACGACAAATTACTATATTGCACTTAGCTAAATTGTACTATAAAAAAAATAATAGTAATTATAAAGTCTATTATATAAATAAATAAAATTAAAAATTTGATTTACATATATCATGGAATAAAAAATCGTTACAAACTTGGTTTACGTATACCATCCTGTTATATAATTTCTTTAATACATTGCATGGAAAATAAATCGTTTTATATATAACATGGCAATCTAAAACACTATTCAGAATTCTTTGTACCCTGTTTATTATTCAGTAAATTTTATTTAAATGTTATAATCGAAGTATTGATGACTATCCTTTTGTGTATCCTTTTTCAACTTTTCTTTTTCTTAATCTTTAATGGATTATCTAATATTTTCTCCCTTACTCCTAATTTGTTTATTAAATATTGTCGCAGCGAATGTAATGCGTCCAAACCACCATGTCCATCTTCGAATATCATCCATATCCTGAATATCTCGTCAGATTGTGTAATTATATCCTCAGAATCAGAACTTTCAATCCCCATAACTTCAACCCATAACTTACAAACAAGCAGAGGAGTGTCATCGAACAATTTTTTATCAGATCTTTCTTCATTTAATTTCTTCATGTCATTTTCAATTTTAATTGAAGTTTCTTCAATGCACATATTTGCTTCAATACACTCGTCAGTTTCGCCTTTCGCTCTTTTCATCGCAATTTGTTGCGCTAAACGCCGCTTCCTACGTGTATGTTCCCATGATCTTTCTCGAGCAATTATCTGACAAGACCAGTTGTCGAAATTATCTTCAGATGCATTTTGCAGTTCGATCTGTTGCAATAATAAAATTTCTTAAGTTTTCTTAATTATAAATAATCTACAAATTTAATATATGAAATAAAAAAAAACTGCGTTACATTTAATTCTTCTGCCGTTGCTCTTATAAAACTGATCATATCATCTATGTAGGAAAACTTATCGTTCATGGGAAATGTTATTGAGATTTTATAATTCTTTAATGATCGCACAATGGATTTTCCACGTTTCCTGATGACAGGTGCCGTAGTCAAATTTACAATATTTTGTGGTACAAAACTCCAAGCCAAACCCCATCTATTGACAAATATAAATTTAATCAATTTTAAAATTGTTCAAATATGTATATAATATAATTGGCTAGAAAATTAATAATTAGATTAAATCAACATTAATCATTTTTCATATATAAAAAAAGAATTTTAATAATTTATCAATAAATTAAATAAATCATTAATTTTAATAATTTATTAATTGGATGTTTATTTACCGAGTCGTATAACCCTGACAAAATTCGGTCCACGTAATATTCGTTATATTTCTTGATCTTAGTAATCGTCGTAAACTAGCCAAGTCGGCTTTTTTGCCGATCATTGTACTGTAAATCTTTATTCGATCTTGCATCTCGACACTCTCTTCGATCATTCTCGTTACAAAGGCCACTTCACCACCTTCGGTTTTCAACTCACCGTCATTTCCAGTGGACGCATTTCTCGGTGGCAGAATCTTTGCCACTTTGTCAAAACCATCATCCTCACTCTCAAAAAACGGCGGATTGCACATTGAGAAGTCATAAACTTTGTCATTCTGCATTGTATCCTTAAAAATTCTATTGGAGTTCACTGTAATTACTACATCAGAAAAAAATTCCTGTTATGAAATTGAGTTTTATTAACTACAACTAAATCTCTCTCCCCCCCTCCCCCTCTCCTCTTCTCTTTCTCTACTTCCCCTCTTTCTCCCTCTTTTTCTTTCTTAACTTTTATTGCTTCAATGAACAAGTATTTTTGATAGAAACCTACTTTCAATTAAATTTTGCAATTTATTTCTCCTTACACATTCCTGGGCATGCTTCACGCTGTCTTTATTCACTTCTGTGCCAATCATTTGGCATTTATAGATTTTTGCCAGCAACAAAGCATATATACAAACTGCTCCTGTTCCTATTTAAAACAAAATTATTCAGATCGCGAGTAACAATTTAGAATATTGTACATTCATATTACAGATACATATTGCAAGATGAATGTCATAATACTATCATTGTATTCTAAAAAATATTATCCTTATTGTAATTGCTATAATTAATGATACACATTCATTTATTATTTTGATATAATTTCATTCATTATTTCATTCATTATAATATTAATATAACAGCAACAATCCGAATGTTTCCTAAAGGCAATGTTTGGAGGCTTTATTCTCTAAAGACATATTTCGGAAAATGATCTTACCAATGTCGATGCCTGTGACTTTATCCATTTGTAATTTAGAATGCATCATCAAATCTTCAATCCACAAAATATAATTCAAACGTAGTGGAATTGCCGGATTTAAATTATCTGGTGGAATGTTCACGTGTAAATCAAAATCATGTTTCAAAAGTGTTTCTGTGAGTACATGCAGACTCTTCCTTTCTTTGAAATCAATCCTCATCTTTCCTGAGAAATCCTAAATAATTAACATATATATGTTACATGTATGAATAAAAAGTATTACATCTATATTTCTTCAGATTTTCTAAAAAATATAACAAAATATAAAAAATATTTTATAAAATATTAAAAAAATTAGAGATTAATTCTATCAGTTTATATTCCAAGACCAATATTTATTAATTATGTTCTGTAAATTGGTTTAAGTACTAAGAAGAAAAATTATAGAAAACTAAAATATATCGTAGAAAGAATTATAGTACCATTATCGCAATTTCACGGAATTCCGGATATAGGATTGCGAGTTTCTTGTAATCCGGAGGTCGCTTGTATTTGTTCCTCGGATGAATATACTTTTTTACGTTCATTTTAATCTAAAAAAACTTATTCGTTCAATATATACAATTAACACAATTTATTAATAGCCGATTTCTTTTTTATTGATTGCCATCGGATAGTAAATTTTTATGTATCTTCAAAATCTATCCTTCTAGGTTATGTGACACACATTTCTTGATCTTATATATAATTTATCACTTCGCTTTTCAATGTTATATTATTTTTCCAATCTCCCTCATGAAGTTAAACAATGTCTTGACCAAACGTCATTTTTCTCTTTTAATCCCTGTAAATCTACTACTTTTGTCTATTTATTCCTTTTTTTAACTGTTCATCTAATAATTAACAACTGATTCAGATTCCCATCTGACAACTTCAGATTTGTTTACTGACTCCTTTTGCACTTCTTATATTCGAAGTTTTTATTCTTTCTTTCTCTAATACTTGCATATATGATACAGCTAATTCGCCTTAGGTGCAGAAGATGTTAAAGAGTTCATTAAAAAGATGCAAGAAGAATAAACGTTACTGTATTTTGTTTGTATTTTTCGGATATTTGTCACGTGATATTATTTGCACTACAAAAGATTTATTTGCATTGTTCATACTCTCTAGCATTTTTGCATTTAAAGCGAGATAAACATGTAGGTCATATTAAAGGAAGAATAAACGAGACGCGAGTGCAGAAAGTGCAGATACGAGAATAAACTTAAACTAGTTCCCGCGCTTGTCAATTATTTTACAATTTTCTGCTTTTATCATTCTTTTTCATTAAATAGTATTTGATAAAATTATGATCTCTTTCTTATTTTTGATATAGCAGTTTATAATATTCGTCGATATGTCGTGATACAAGAACTTCAAGACGATTGTTTAGATGTAAATTCATAAGTCTTTAATTAACATTTAGATATGTATAAAAAGACATAAAATATATAAAAAAAATATTTATTTTAAGAATTAACTGAAAAAAATGTTTTGAATATAATTAGCAATTTAACAAATAAGATTTCATGATAAAACATCTAACAATGGGTATATATTGTGATTTATCGCGTATTAATTATTGTGATGTGACGCCGACGTCGTTCACAGTTACAGTACAAAATGAATTCTCATTTAATCTTAAATCTTTCCAAACTTTAATCCTCCGAATTTCGCCATACAGTCTTGTTATCAGTAATCTCGTGGCTGGTACTCTCATCCAATATTTTCCCAACGCCGGAGTTATGTCAGCAGAATTTGTTTGCTCAGGAGAATTCCATCGAGTGATTAAGTTCACAGTAATCACGACTGCTTGGCATTCTCTTGTGAAAAATCGACATATCTCGGCCAAATCATCGAGCTCATAAGTTGTCTCTAAATCTTGTTGCGCGTTTCGCGTTACCTGGAGAAAGAATTAACTGACTATTAAAAAGTAAATTAACAATCACATAAATTGATTTCATTTAAGTTAATATTAACATGGTTATTTTGCAATTTATATTATTTAACTTGATGTTACATTGTCAACTGCCAGATTAGTGAGAAATGTTATTCTTTAATAATAATATTAAATATAATGCTTCAATATGCTGATGTGTTATATAAATCATCAATGGAAATTTGGCAATGAAAATACCTTAAAGATAACTGCTGGTAACGAATCGATAATTATAAGATAGAATTTTCTTCCTTCGAGAGGCGCATCATTTTGCTCTGTTTTACAAAGAGTTAGTAGTTGTCGTAGTGCTTGTATTAATTCATGAGGAGAACGCACTTGACAAACTTTTGTACACTTTAATGCATCTTCTATGACCTAGAAAACAGAAAATTAATTTAGCTAGAAGACTTGGTAACATTTTAAAGACAGTTACTAATCACACAAAAAGTTTATAAATATAAATTTATTCAATTATTTCTTTTTATTACTTTTATGATTACATATTAAACCAATGCGTCGACATTTTTATCAACATCTAATTGTTATTTACAGTTAACATTATCACCTTTGACGTGAAATTCCTTGCTCTCATAATCTCCTCGTAACGCAATCTGGAAAAATCTTTCTTTGTGTCGAAGTACCACACAACGGCATCTGATCGGTTGGCGACATTAGCTGCTATTGTCAAACATAACTGAGTTTTCCCACAAGATGAGGGTCCACATAACTCACATAATTGTCCAAGATACAAACCACCTTTTAGCAACTCGTCCAAACTATCCTACCAACAATATAACATTAGATACTGAGAAACAAACAGGATCTTTTTTCTTTCTCTATGAAAGAAGTTGTACATATAATATTCAAACTCTTTCATGTCAGATATTTTTGTTAATCAAGATCAACTTAATAAATAGTCTATTGCAAATATACCACGTTATGTTAGTTGGAATTATGTGACTACGTTTCATCACAAACAGCTGCATTGCATTCCTCTTTATACCATTAAATTTCTTCAATATATGTTGTTTTATTTGCAATATATCCTGTAAATGTTAAGATAATATGAATTTGCAAAAATTAAATCTATAAAAAATTATATATTTTTATTCATACAGCACAAACTTTGTAATTATATTGCAGCAATATTGCTGTAATGTTATATTATTAATGTTGTTGCAATATAGCTGCAAGATTTGTGCTGTACAGCAATTTTCAAGTTTTTGGTATATACTTTCCATCTATTTTTTCAGTAAAAATTAAATTTAAAATTCATTAAAAAAAAATAAATTTCTGAATATCTTATTTATAAAAATTTAAACAACTAATTTAAACACTTTTTTTACAGAATACATACCGTATGCGTCAGACCGGTGAAACTCGCCAATTTAATCGGATCCATCGCGATGAAATCCACGGTTGATTTCACATTTCTCCGTCGTAAATCCTCCGTCACTATCTCCGTCAAATACGGATGAATATTCGCGCTCAGTCTAACCATCCTTCAATCTTGCCGAATATCTGCAAAGTGAAGAGGTCAAAGGTTCAAAGGTCTTTTAAATTTGAAAAGAATTATTGATTACGTTCAATCAATAAATTAAATATGAATAAATCTCGTTTTTTCTTTCCTTGTCTTTTTCGACCGCACATGTTGCATGTTTTCGTCATGCGAAATTTTCGAAAAGCGTTATCGCGCGCGCGCGCCACGCATCTCGAGCGCTCCGATAATTATCGAGCGGCCGTGCCGCCAATCGAGAGACAAGATGCGCTCGCGCGCTCTGCTTCTACGTTGTTCCATGTCCAGTAGCGTCGATCATCTCACCTTGAAGTGGACGTGTCGCCTCCTCGGCCGCGCCGCGGCGATAGGAAGGTGCGCTTCTCGTCCGAGCCCCGAGTCGCCTCAGTCGTCTGCACCGTCTCACGCCACTCATCCAAGAGGACGGCGCCCGTGGAGATGGCGATCGTTCCCGCGCGCGGAAACGCCGCCCGTCGACGGCAGCGGCACGCGTTCACTCGCGAGGAACGCACGTGCGTGCGCGAATCGACGCTCGAACGACGCACCGCCCGCACTCGTCGGCATCGACAACGCGCGGCGACTCCAACGACGATGGAATGATTCGACGGAGGATCGATGCACGAGTACGTACGATAATAATATATCAATATATATTGAATTACGAGACGGAGCAATCGGCGAATTGCCGCGCCACGTGGCGCATGGCCTCCAGATCGACAGTTCACGATTTTGCGATTTTGCGCACAATGAAGGAACGGGAATAAATATTAAATCTTGGAAATAAGAATTAGGAAGAAATATTAAACGTTTTTGCGCACAATAGAGAAAATATTAGGGACAGGAATAAATATTACATTTTAGAAATGAAAATTTGAATGGCCATATCTATTTGTATCTATTGTATTATGTTTAATCTTTATTCCGAATTTTTATTTACTCCATTCCGCGCAAAAATTCAATATTCCTGTTTCTAAAATGTTTTCCATTACACGCAGGGCCTAATGGACACAAGTACAAGATATAGCTACATTTTATATTCTATCCATTTTGTTACATTTAATTTTTACATTTTTGTTTCTAAAATGTAATATTTATTTCTGTTTTTCCACTATGGCTGCTCTTTGAGATTTTGTTACTCTTAGCTTTACTTTCTATTACTTACTTACTTTTCTTATCGGAAATTGTTCCTGTCTTTTTTTTCGATGTCTAATGAACAAGCTGGTATTTTATAGTCCGTTTTTATATTCAGAATTGATTCTTGATAACAGACATAGATATCAACCACTTGCAATCACGTAACCAATCATCAATATTAGCATTTAAAAAAAAAATGCTTAAAATTATTTTAAGTAATGACCATTTTAAGTAATGACCTTGTATTTTGTATTAAGACGATTTTGTATTAAGAATAGATTATAAAAACTGATTTATTCCGAGTGAAAAAAAATATGACTGCTCTTGCGTTTTTATTCTTTCTTTCTTTGTTTAAATAAAACGGATTATCGTCGGACTTCAAATAAGAGGAAAGAGAAAAGAAAACGAAGCATAGAAAACAGTAATTGAATTGAAATCTTATCATATTTAATTTTCTCTTTCTTAAAAGGAAGTTCGAGGATAAAAAATTCATCAAACGATAATGGATGACATCGTGAGGTAATTCCAGTAAAAGCATGGCGGAAATGACTCGGTCGTGTATGCAATTATTTTTTTCTTATTTACAATCAATTGTATGCTTATTAGATAGCTGAATAGACAATTCTTGAACAAAAGTTTTTTACTATTTTGAAAGAAAGAAAATTGAAGTTTATTTTTTCTATTACGCATTATTTATACAAAATCACGTTCGCACGTGGTCACTCTTGATTTCTCTCCTCGTAGATAATGTAATCACGGAAACTCATCGTGAAGTAATATATCATTAGAAATAAAACACGAGTAATTTCCATATCGGGCGAGAGTGAGACTTTAAATTGAATAGCCATATTTAGCATTACGAGGGGAATACATGATAGCGAAGGCGGGGTATGCAGAGAGAACGAGGTGTGATCGAAAAAATGAACAGACTCGTACGGAATGTGAATTCGCAGGTTTCGACCGCGTGTTCGAACATACACGCGCGGGTCGACCAATCGCGCGTCTCCGTCGGTGCCACGTTGCCACGCGCAACAGCCACGGCCGGCCAATCGGCGGGCGCGGCGGCGCCATCTCTGCGCGATTGGCGCAAACGCCGAGACTCACGACTGGCCCGTCTCGACTGCGACCGAACTTGTCTCGCAGCCGTCGCCATGTTTAGAAGTGTGTACGCGTCCTTGGGCGTGCGACGTGACGATGTATCGTAAAATATTAGATATAGCTCATGCGCCGTATGTTACGTGAGGTACCCAATTGCGACTTGACCCACGCGGATTACGGGCGTGACGATCATTCTCGTGGATGGCACACCTACGCCGCGGTAATTTGTGATTACATTATGGTAAGTCCTGGGTCGTCTCGGGCCAACGCCAACATGGCGGACGGGAGATTTCCTTTGTATCACGCCGCGCCGCGCCGCGCCGTTTCCCCACCCGTCGACGCCGAGAGCGTTGTCGGCGGAGTCGTTTCCTCGCGCGACGCCCTTACGTCGTTCCGGAAGAGCGACGCAGACACGACCAAGGTACTTCGCTGATCAGTCGTACCTCCGCGTATTTCGTCACCGGCGCTCGCCTCGATATAGCACATCGGTCCCTCGATGCGCGCACGAACGTACGACGCTCCCGGATAGCCCCTCCGGATCTCGGGCTATCGGCTCACCGGTTCCGGATCTCATCATATCTCGCGATGACATACCTCCCTTTCTGGATGCTCTTTCCGATTTTTCCTATGTCCAGTCGTTGTGCAGATTTCGAATTTTCGCATGTTATACATTATTCGCGCACAATATGTATCAATGTATTTTTTCTTTTTTTTTTCTTTCCTTTTTTTTTTTCATACTATTACGCGTCAACAAGATTATGCATCGCCTTCTTCAAATTCGCCGCTTTCCCTTTTCTCTATCCACTCGATTCATGTTTATAAATGAATAAACGATCGATTTCTTCCCTCAAACAACTTGTCTAGTAGGCCGTTACTATTAACATTTTTTATTAACATTTTTTTCCCTTTATTTCCATATTGCGTGAAATATTTTTATTTATTTTATTATAAGATAATTCTATCTTCATTGTTTTCGTCGATAGTTCACAATTAAAGAAAGTTTATAATTAAATAACGCGGTTGTTTTGCAGGTGTTTGTATATTCTCCAAGAAAGAATTTAAATTGATATGTTAAATTGTGAATTTGCTTATTTATTAGAGCATCTTAACTGAGATTTTTTAAAGTTATTTTATTATTTAGAATATATTTTACTAATAATATTTTTATATTTTTATTTTTTTACAATTGAATAATGGTCATATGCATTCTATGTTATTTAGAAAAAAATTAGTTTTTGTTGTAATTGCCAATTTGCTAATTTAATAAACTATATCGATTTTCAATTTTTTATATTTTTGTTTGGACAACTTAATACATATTTTAATATAATATATATATATATATATATATATATATATATATATATTACTAATATATAATACATATTTTTATTATTCTTCTGTTTACATTTAGTCAATGAATAAAAATTTGCATTTTTTAAACTAATGTTTTTGATATTTTTCTTAGTATTTTCCTTGTTTTTTTACTTTATTTTTAAATTTAGCATATTGTTAATTAACTCATTTTGTTTATTAATATATTTTTGTTTTTAAATATTACACATTGTTTTATATATTTAAATTTTTATATACAAAAATTAAAAAATATAAAACATTTTGATACAAAACTGAACTTCAACATTTTAAAAATCAAGGAATTAAAGCACGGATAGTTTGTCAATTTATTAAAACTAAATTTTTGTGATTTCAAATTAAAACGTAACAATTTCATCAGTATTTATGAGAATTAAAAAATATATTTATCTGTTAAAATACATTTTTTGTTACTAAAAAGAAATGGTCATCGAAGAATTGTTTCAATATTATAATTCATTGTCAGTTACTGTATACTATAGTGCTGTTTTATTTTTTCAGCGTAACGTGCAATGAGTGACAAACAGGGTGCACCTATTCTACCACCCCTTAATCGGGGTGCGGCTAATAATGGCGGAAATAATGGAAGTTCAGGTCAACAGACTGTCAGTCTGCAGCAAGTTCTCGCTACCACTCAAGGCCTCAATGTGCTCGCTACTACCAGTGGGCAACAATTCGTTATTACGACTCAGGTTCCTGGTCTCACACAGGTAAATATCAACATTTGCAACTAGAATTAGAATACTTACATTTTGTAAAAATAGATATGTATTATCTTTTTAAATTAGAAAAATTATTTTTTTTCAAGTACCTTTTATGAAGTGTGAGATATTTTATTTAGTTTTATAGGTCAAACTATCTTCTGAATTAATATCAATTCTGGATTAATTGTATTATGATTACTTATAAATCATGAATGTTTAATTTTCATTGTTTCTATTATTCATTGGTCACATTAATAATGTTTGCTCAATAATTATAACAGCTGATCATTAATTAAGTAATAATCCCATTCAGTAACAATCAAGAATGATTTTAACCTCAATTATTTTTATTATTAAATATTACTGATTATTTAATCATCAATTACTTAGCAATTACTCAATAATTAATTATTTATTTACGTATAATCCTGTATTAAAATATCTTCTGCTTGTGGATTAATATTTTCGTTAATCATCAGGTCATACCAAACAATGCCACGACGAATGCAAGTGGAACACAACAAGTCGGTGTCACCAGGATCGTCAATATTACAGGCACGCCGCCGCGTAACGCTATTGGAAGCGTTGGTATTACCGGTTCGTCGCCGCATTCGTCATCGACGGTATCGCGGCCACAAAACTCCACTAAGCTTATGTTGACTACATCATCGAAACTCGTACGCACCTCCATAAGCAACATGTTTGTGGCACCGATGTCGTCGTCATCATCATTATCATCATCATCATCATCATCGTCGTCGTTGTCGTCGTCGTCGTCGTCGTCATCGTCGTCGTCGTCGTCGTCGTCGTCGTCATCGTCATCGTCGTCGTCATTGTCGTCTCAGGCATCGTCACCACAGGTGCAAATACAATCGTCTTCGCCGTCGCCACCGGCACGGAAACGATTGAAGTTGTCAGAGACGACAGAGAAGTCGATTCCATTCGATGCCAATGGCTATCGTAAGCGAATAATGGAGCACAAGATGCGACGGATGCGTGCCGTACGCGAAAAGTACGTTGAAAATGCGTCAGAATTATTCTTCCTGCACACCGGCGGCAACATGATGGATTACCATACTTGGCGGAAGCGTACCCCGACGCCGCAGTTTGTACATTTCTTGCGTCAGCATCGACTCGATCCGGATGACGATGACGAGGATCTGACTGCACCATTGTCGTCGATACCGGAATTCTCGCAATTATCCGGTGTAACCACTGCTGTTACTGCTACTACGACCGTTACCAGCACTATTGTTACTGCTACCACCGCCGTTACGACGGTCACGTCTAGTTCCGCAGTGGTCCAAATTCCGAATCAAAGAACGGAGGTTAAAATTGCTGGGACGGGGATCACGCCAGTAGCGGTGTCCACTACATTACCTGCTGCAGCTCTAGCTCAGCTCAGTCAAGGTAATTATAATTCAATAATTATGATAAAAGAGTTTAATTCTTCGCCATTACGTCGAACAATGATTAGTCGGAATGTTCAATTCAATATACACCTTGCAAGATTGATTTTACATTCACATATTATTCTAGTTAGTATTTTTCTAAAAGTTAAACTGGACTTTTGAAATATTTTATTATTTTATTCATATATTTTTTGTATTAATACATTTTATATTAATAGATTTACATCTATATCTAAAATTTTTAAATAAATGTATGATACAGAAACACAAAAAAGATTATGCATCGCTTAATCATTAATATCATTACTAGACATATACTACATTTTATGAGCAAATTTTTTAACATTATTTCTAATTAAACTTTGATGAATATATTGTTTGCATCCATTATGGCATATATTTCTTAAATTTCAATAGGAAAAATATTATTTATTGTTATTTATTGTTCAGCGCGTATTGTTTTAAACATTTAATTGTCTGTTTTTATTTAAAGTAGTAATTGTCTTTCTTTATTTGAAGATTAATCCGAGGATCTCTTCCAGAGAGATTTCTTTTTAATTTTCAATTTTAATTTCTATAGAATAAAAATGTATTCTATTTCATTTATTTTCTTGATTTCTATGTAACCAAATCACAGTCAAATTGCGATATAAAAAAGAATCTTAATTTAGAAGAAATTTATATGAAATAGAGGAAAACTTAGAATACAAACTTAGAATACAAGTTCTCAGAAAATTGAATATTGTTATAGTCTTATTGGATCATGATGTCATAAGCGAAAATAATACTAATTTCTTTCTCATTCTATATATTGAAATAGATTATTTTTTTCTTGCGTATTACAATTTGAAATACACATTTTTGAAAATTTATAGTTTTATCTAATTGTGGAAAAGAAGATTCAGACAGTTAATATAGATAGGATTTAAACATTTAAATCCTTATAATATATTAATGCAAAATATAGAGATTATAGGAATCAAATAATTCTTTAATGAATTTAAACAGTTGATATTAAAT